AGACGGCTTTTTAAAAAGTTGAAGATTGGATTTTTAGACTTTCAATCTTTAGATTTTCTCACCTTTTAAGTTTTAAAGCTTTATTAGTTGTGCAAATCGACTTATTTATAGACAAATTTTAGGGACTTTTTTTTTGGGTCATTTTTATGGGTTGACATCTTCACATTATTATGTTGAAAGTCATAATTAAGTCTAAGTTCCAACATTCTCTTTGAGATTTCTACTTTCATGAAACTTGTCATGTTCGTTATGTGCATGTGTGGGTTTATTGCATTGAAGTCTATTTTGATTTAGTTGTGTCTGGATTTGCACTTGAATGACGTCTATGTCCCATGTCATGTCGAGACCTTTAACAACGAGGTTTTGACAAGGCTTCCAATTGTATGTTAGTTAAATGATTAAGGGTCTACATTCCTTTGATAACAAGTGCCTCCATGGTCGAGGCCTATTTTTGTTAGACATGCTTCAGAGGCCAAGGTGCTAATATTAGTTTTGCGACATGTTGGCATACAATGGGTACTTTTTGTAACTCACGTGGAGTCTGGATAGGCGATAATTATTCAAGCATGTAACATTAGTCCCCAAAATCTGAGTTTCAAATTCATGAAAAATGAAGGATTTATGATGTTTTCTTATTGCTAGTGCTCAAATTTTGTATTACTATTTAGATCTTTGCCTATTTTGTGCATCGTAATAATTGGAGGTCAAAGCAAAATAGACGGGTTTTCCATGACGCCTATGCATTTTGTGCCAAAAAGAACTGTGTAACAAATACCTTTTATTATATAAGTATTCTGAGGCATTATGTACAAGAAATCCAAGAGAAATCTAATTCTTGTATACTTATAGCCTTTTTATCAAAGATATTTTTTTAATACTTTGTTTAGCTAAAAATCTGATCCTAGATATTTTTTGCATCTGATGCTATAGGTAAGGTGTTATCCCTCTTCTGGAGAGGCTCCAGATCACCTCCACTTGGCAGACAACTAACAAGCCAAGCATGCTCACACTTCATATCATACTCCTATCTGGCCAAAATGAGGCCGCACATAACGTAGACGAGATGATGCGTCACTTCCATGCAAAGACGAGGCGCCACGTCTGCTATAGGAAGAGAG